ATTAATTCCATTATCATTTTTGAGAGAGCTCCTCCTCAATTTTTGTATTATATGGATGGATAAGATACAATGCAGTGTATAACAAACTATATTCAATTGAGTACTTTTTATTAAAAAAAAAAACTTTTTCATCTTGATGTTGCCACCTAATGTATCTGTAATTTTTTTTTTTGAACTCAGTTATTCGCTGCCTTGAACTTCTTGAAAACCTCTTAAACGGCGATCTCTTGCCTGTGTGCTAACTTTCCCTGCATTTCAACATATGCGAGAAGAATGATATATTCTTTCATAGCATGATTACTTCAAATGCTGTTATCTTGACGTCAGGTGAGTTTAGTATCTTATACACAGGTCCAAAGCCTCCTCCAATTTTGTTCTCTGATGAGAAGTTATCAATTGCAATAGCTAATGTTGAAAAGTCAAGTAATGGTAGAGAAATGAGAACAAGGAGTGAAGTGAAATTGAATAAAAAGAACAAGAAAAATATAAACAGTGGGAATAAAATATTTAAATAAAAACAATAGACTAGATCTTTGTATTTGTTGCTCGGGTCTTGGGAATTTTTTTTATAATATCAGCATATGCATTAAAACATAAAATTTAGATGCCTTAATATAATATAGTATGAAGTAATTACAGGGAAAAAATGAAAGTCATTTATGTGAAACTTACAAAATTATAAATAATATCCTTATATCACTCTTTTTCTTTATTCAAACAAAACATAATTTAAAAAGTTTTAATTATTCTCAAAAAAGAAAATTCTTGATTAATGAGTCATAATATTAAACCATGCTCTAAAAAAAATTTGATAGACAAATACCTGCAAGTAATAAAAAACATTTTTTTTCAAAATTTTTACATGCTTTAATTTTTTTAACAAAATAAAAGTTAAACATAACAAAAAAATTATTGTAAAGAAAGTGAGAAATTAAAAAATGATTAAATTTTAAAAAGGCAATTGTTGGTTCCATGATACTTTTAATTGTAATGTTTCATGAACAGTAAAATTTATTATATTTACTAATATCAATTATTTGTCATAAATAGATTCGAAGATGAACAGTTTTAACTAATTATTTAATATAAAAAATTAATTTATAAATTCTTATAGACGACGGTAAAGCCATATACAAGTAAGGGTGGGCATATTACACATGACATGCCCCCTCACTTGGAGAAATTATATATAATGGGTACAAAATTTTGGATTTTGTACCTATCTTTTCAATATATTGTATATTAAATCCATTTTATTCTTTCTCTAAACTTAAATCTAAATTTTTCAACTTTTTAACTCAAATATAATAATACAATAAATCTATATAATTCAATTTTTTTATTAAATTAGTTTTAACATTATTAATTTTTTAAAAGAAAATTACTCTACTACTTATTTTTTTAATTTTAAATTAAGTTTCTATAATTTATTTTGACTTAAATTGAAAAAAAAACTAAATTTTTTCAGGGCGTTTAGGGGATGGGTGTTTAAGTGCTTATCTTGTGCCGGTCACTCCCAAACTTCAGGGCGTGACAATTATATGTTATTCAAATAACATAATAATTTAAACTATGATTAGGTTGTCAATGAGATTCACTCATCTTGAAAAAAGAGTTAATTTCTCACTCGTCTAGAGAAAAAGGATAGGTTTATATTATATATTATTCAAATAATATAACAATTAAAAATATGATTGGTTTGCCAATGAGATTCACTCCTCTAGAAATAAGAGTTAATCTCTATGATGAATCAAATTTTGAATCCTTGCTAGGAAAAATACCTACAATTACTAATAACCAACCGTGTATCAAACAAAATTACTTCCAATGGAAAAAATACCTACACAATAATAATAGTAAAAAAAGATTCCGTTGCCTCAATTTCAATTGCAATGTACATGAGTAATTAAATAATAATAGTTTGAGCCATATATTAAGTAGTAAAAATATAAATTAATATTAAAAAAATTGATAGTTATTTTAAGAAGGGTGACTAAGTCGAAGCAATATTTTCTGGGGCAACTAAGTTTCATGCCTACACCAAATTTCATTTTAACGAGGTTGTAAATATTATATTCAAAATAAAAGAAAAATAATATATGCTTGAAAAAAGTAAAAAAAAAACGATGCATTTTGATGGCCAAAAAAAAAATGATATGCATATTCACTCAAAGATATCTCCCTAATGATGCATGGCTAATGATGTTGTCCCTGAACATATAATGTATGTGTGTGAAGTGCGTGTAAGGCCATCACAACAATTTGGATCCTTTTTTTTTTTGCCATGAAATAAAATAATTAAATTGAGTCATGCATTGTAAAGTTAAAAAAGATATAAAGTGAGTTTAAAGTAGAGTTGAGAAAACAGGTTGGCTATTGATGGGCTCAGGCCTAAAAAAACCAACTCTTTTAAGCTCGAGTTCCCTTTAAGACCCTGATATATGAAACCCAGCCCTCGACATAGTGGGCTTAGGATTGGCCCTGCAGGCTCCAGGCTTTTTTAACTATTTTTATTTTTTTAAATTTTTTTAATTAAATAAAAAATTACTTCATTCTAATATAATACCCAATTAAGAAAGGTACGAAAAAACTAACTAAATAATATCAAAATGAACTAAAAATACAATTAATTATAATATCACTTTGTTCTTCTGAGACATATATGGTCGGATGCTAAATGTAAGCATCTCTCCTATTGCAGATTCGATCATTGATTTACCATATTATAAGGAATTAGCTCATTCTACTAAACTTACTCGTTGCAATATCATTTTTGTTTCACACTATTTTGATTAATCATCAAATATATGTTTATTAGAGTTTTTCTATATGATTAAAGACTATTTTTCCCCTATACTTTTTTTCTGAGGAGTGTTGGGCACCCTATATTACTGAAGAATGGGGCAACATTTTTCTTAAATAATTTTTTTCAGGAACAAAATTGCCTTTCCATCAAATGCCTATCATTTTCTTTATTCTATGCTAACATGGAATAATTGTAGGCCCACACACAAGTGGCAACAAAGTATTTTGAATCATTGTGACTATCATTTGATGTGGGGAAAAGATGTTAGAAGTGCAGAAACCATGCTTGTTTTTAGTAGCAGAACAATTGCAAAATGGGTCAGAAACTTGCTATTAATGTGCATGGGTCTTGTAACTATTCCATATATGTCATCAGATGATGAAGAAGATAACAAGTCTCCAAAAAAATGATAATTTACCTTTTAGTATAAGGTACTCAGTACTTCTCAAAAATAAAAAGTTTAGGGGGAAAAATAATCTTTAACCATTTTTCCATATTACACACACTTTTCTTATTAGTAGAATAAGTTAAATGATATATATTTATTTAAATTATAAAAATAAATTTCAAACTTATTTAAAATCAATTTAATAAATTCACCAACTGGTTATGTCCACTTTCTACACTGAGAGGGGGGAAAATTACTGTAGCACTCTCTTGTACAATTGTCTAATACTTTAAGACAATTTGTATGAGCGGCCTTACTTTGTATTTTATATTTTGTGAATAAATGAGTGGAATAAAAAAAATAATTTTTGTTAACTATAACACTTGAACTGTTAGAAAAAATCAAGCTAATCATGAAGATTTTGTTAGAAAAAATTGTCTTTAGTTTTTATATAAATTATGATTCCAAATAGCTTATCAAAACAATTTTTTTATATCTCTCATATGCGTTTAACTTAAATACTTAAATAATTATTATCATAAGATAGAGTCAAATTTGTGGACCTTGCAAATAGGGCTGTTTTAATAAGATCTTTATTATCAACCAATGTTCATCTTATACTTTTTATTGTCAGTCACTTATTCCACGCACGAGTGTTGTTTGGGTTCAAACAAGTGTACCGTGTTAAGAAGGTTGTTTCAAAAAGTCATGTTTTCAAATATCAATGGGAGTGTAGACTCACGCCATGCTTTTAGGGGGTCATGAAGTCTTTTCCATGATTTTTTTTTTCTTGAGTCAAGTCTACCTAGGCATTGTTTAATTTTTTGTGGTATTTAAAATTATCACTTTTAATAAAATAAAAAAGCAACCACATACTAAATTCTTCTATTGTTAAACACTTGGAAGAAGTGTTTTTGGGTTTAGTTGACTTATGTCGCGTTTGAAGGATTGCGTTAGAAAATCATATTCTTACTCTACAGTCAGCTTTTTTGGGTTCCAATTTTATATTATAAAAAGAAAGAAGAATTCTTTCCTTTCAATGAAACTAATCACTATCTACTAAACATAATAAGCACCAAAAGTGTTTGACTTATGGAAAGAAAATCAAGAATTCTATGTGTAACCTCCCTGAGATTAATCGCAATTGACTCCAAATTATGGCAATCTAAAATTTAACCCTAAAAAATTACCAAATTGTAAAGTTATATATCAAAATTCTTTTAAAGGAATCCTAATTTCAACAATTCAAATTTTAAATATTATTTAATAAATCCATATCAGAGTTTTTGAAAGTAAAGCGGAAGTTTGAAAATTAATTGGGACCCAAACTTATAAGTTTTAAAACTCAAAAATAGATTTTATGCAGAAAGTGTCACGTTCATCGTGGCGCATTGCACGAAATTTTAACAGCATTAATGCTGTCATTTGACAACACGAAAAGCAAACTTCCAATGCATCCCAAATGTCCATCCAATGTCTGATTGAGGTGGTTTTGGTGTCCACACAGAACTTTCTTTTAGCTCTAACTAATGGCAATAATTTCACACTCAAAGTCATTTTCTATAAAAAGTTAGACATCAAAACCCATTATAACCACTTTTTCACAAAATTTTTCAAATGGGGTGTCCCAACTCAACCACACATGTCAATAGCTCACACTAACCATTCGACTACACTCAATAGACTCTTGCAGACTCATGTAACGCACCACACACAATCAAAAACGCTTATCTCATAAAATCACCACTCAACCCCGATTTTCACAAAACATAAAAGGGGAGGAAATGTTGCATAAAATCAACAATTTTATTTCAAATTTCTCAAAATACATATATTTCTACTTGCACAAGTATTTTGACCCTATCCATGAGTTCACAACCAAAACTCACTAACGCAGGGTACAAAATACACTAGTTATACACAAAATCATGCAAGTAGTACATGAATCATGTTAAATAATCCTAGTTGGCAATTACATTAACAAATACACATGAAAATAATAAAAGAGAGGCATATAAAGGATTATTCCACAATCCTAAGCCTCTGTATGTTTTTCTCGACTCAAATCCGATGAGCTAGGTCCTGAAAATATTAGAATTGAGGGGTGAGTACAACCACTCAGTAACCAAGTTTCACTTAACCCATACAGTTGCATATCAATTCTAAATAGATGCAATTAGGAAAATAAGCACAAATAACACATAACACTCGGCCATGTTTCACAAAACTAACAATCATGTGATCGAGTTTGCCCACAAAATACTATATCATGTTATTTAGCAAAACATAATACAAGGTTGCAAAAATAACAACCATGCGCCCTCAACAAATGTCGGACCACAAAATTAACAACCATGTGGTCAGACTTATATGCATGGTCATATGCTAACCTTATATCCTCCTATTACCTCTCACATGAAACTGGTGGCTATCACGTGGCTACATCCTTCACGGACTAACCCAGCCTTCCACTTGTGAGGAGCTATCAGGCCAGGGTGAACTCACTTATTTATGTAATTTGATTTTCCCCCAATGCTAATAACCATGAGATGTCGTACCTCTAATCTAGCCTCCTCATAAATCAGTAGAGACTAGTTAGGTTTGAGTCCCTTATAGAACAATTGGGATAATCTCAAATCAACCATGAGACAAAAGCTACTTTTTGATTCCAACAGTTAGTGCCAATGCTAGTTCCTGATGTTAATGATCACTGTCAATATCACGTGGATTTCAACAAATCTACTCCTCTCCCTAAGCGAACTCTCGTCAATGATCGTGCTATGCACATTTCTCACATAATGTGCATTTTAACAATCAATTCATAATACATGATCTCACATAGCTCAATACTCCACAATTCAACACATAATATCACAATTTTTTATCTATAGTAATAAATCATAATCAATTTCATAAAACACCAATGATGATAAAATTAAGGCTTTCTTTCCAAAAACCATTTTGAAAATCAAACACTTTGCCAATATGTATCATTAATTTAACTCATAATTTATATTTCATAAACACAATTAACATTCAACTATAAAGATTAAGTTTCTCCCAGTTAACTCAAAACTTTGAGAAGTCAAAGGTTTATCCCTCACTATACTAATTTCTCAAAGCTTTAGCAAGCTCGAATGGCGCCAAAAACAAACCTCTTTATACCCATACTATAAGAATTTCATCATTATCTAACTTTTGAAGCTTTATCAACATATAACTCCAAACACTCTATTTTTATTAACTCATAATCACTACTCATTCATACCCAATGGGCTCATTAAATTCCATTAATACACCTTATCATTAATAACACCTCAAACCATCATTAATGCACATTAACCTCTTCCAACTACCATATTTATATTATTTTTTAGATATTAAATGCTCTCATGGACTAACCACTTTCAAAATCATCAATGTGGTGTTCCAATACGTTAAACAACTCTCACTATATTTATTTTAACCAATGAAAATTGGACCCATACTCCTATAGACTGAAAATCCATCTCCCAACTCAAATCCTACCATAAATCATTATAAATGTCATGCCCTAAAAATAGAGGGTGATCGGCATGGGTGTGAACCACTCACACATTCCCGTAAGCCTCAAAATGAACATTTATTTCATTTTACAAAAGAAAAGAACAAAATTTAATCAAATCACATGAGAATCAAAATAACTCTTTTAAACTCATTATCATAAGAAAGTGTCGACGTTTTTGTAAAAATTTTAGCAGAACCTCCCCTGTAACTAGGATCTCCTGAAAATTCTACAATACAATATAATATCAATCAGGAGCTTTGCTCCTTCCAGCCAACAAACAATATATATCAAAATAAAAACTTAGCTATAGGCTACGTGGAGCGCCTAACCTTACTTTCAAAACAAAATACATCAGTTCAAATATTTACATCAAACGGAGATAATGCGAGGTAAAATTTCACCTAGAACAGTGGCATGCCCTTCAGATGTCAACAGTAGAACCAGCATTAGCTAATGAATCTGAAACCAAAATAAATTTTTAGTAAATAACATCCCAACAATAAATAGTTAATATGTATGGAATGAAGGTTTAAAATAATTATGTACGCTAGAGACGGCAATTTTCGTAAACAATATTCAATAAACTTCAGCATAAAAGGGCTCTGTGTAATTTTAAATAAAATCTTGATTCATTAAAGTATTATGTCAACCGTCATTATCCTTTAATTTCAATAAAGCAAATAACTGCATTAAATAATTATAAATTTCACTAATCAAAACTAGTGAAAAAATAGATTCATTAAATAATTAAAAATTCATAATTATAGGGACTTATCGGAACACGTAACAAACGTGAACACACAGTCCACGAGAGTAAATAACCAAACGTGGCTTATGCCATGAAAACAAACGTGGACACACAGTCCACGAGGGTAAGTAACCAAATGCGTCCTAAGCCACGAAACAAACGTGAACACACAGTCCACAAGGGTAATACTAACCAAACGCGATTTGAAGTCACGAAACAAACGTGAGTACAAGACTCACGAATAATAAACGTGAGAACAAAGCTCACGAAAATCAACCTAACTAATCATTTACTATGGCGCCAAGGGTTATCGAAACTGCCGCTAGCAGCCAGTGTTCTGTATAAAGTTCCCTTCAAATTCATTTTCAAACATGCGAGAAAATCATTACTTTCAAAATAAAATTTTCTCTTCTCAATATCAAACTCGCATGAACTGTTTTCCGTAGCAATTCAATAATGAAATTCCATAATTGAAATTCAAACTTGTATTTATTGAGTAACTAACATTTCAAATTTGATAAAGCTAATTTCACAAAATAAAGTAATTTTTATCAATAAAATCTCAAACAATCACGTTATTACTATTAGCATGATTTGTAGAAAAATGTAATATTTTAGCAAAGGAGATTTTAATTGAAAAAAATCAGTTAGGATGCTATCCACTTACCTGAAATTTCCATAATTCAAGGATTCTCCTTTTCATATCAGTTAAATTTCTCCTCCTTCAAATACCCTATAAATTAAATTAAGATTTTTAAATAAACTATCTATAATTTCAATTATTCCCTCCCAACATCTCTACTATCAAATTTTGCTATAGTAAATTTGAAATTTTAAGAAAAAACTTTACACAAAATCCTCCAAAAGTCATGGCTCAATACTCCACTAAAAAAGCATCTCCCTTTTATTTTTTTTTAAACTCAACCAACTTCTTCCTCTTATATTCTATTTTCCAAAATTTCTTAATATATAAATAAATAAGTAAATCAGCTTCCTAACTTCAATCTCTCCATTGAATAAATCAATCTTAACTTAAGAAAATTAAAACACCAACATGACAGCACTAAATCATTAAAGCATCAACATGACAACACTAAATCAAAATTTCAGCTTCAATTTAATTTCCATCCTTCTCATACAGTCAGGACAGCAACAACCAAAAGGAGAAATTGAAACCTCAATTATCCATTCAGTCATTCACGCACAAAAATCATGTGAAATAAGTGAGCTCAAGACTTTTTGCCTCCATTAATATTAGCATAGACAGTGAGGAAGGAATGATAGCGGGTGCAGGAGAAGAGTGTCAGCAACAAGAATGAAAATTTAACAACATTTATTTACTAAATCCTTCACTCAAGCATTATTACAAACGCCTTAGGAGCATTACTCAAATTTCAATTCACAATAAGCCTTTCCATATTAACTTTCTCATCAACATTTAACCTAACATCCCAATAAAGTTATATAAAGTGTCAACCAAATCAAATCAGCTCCTTAATTTCTCAAGAGATCCACAACAGCAATAAGAAAAAAGAACAAAGGCAGAATCTTCGATTACAAGAGGAGAAACAAGAAGCTTACCATACGCATGTGCAACGGCCAGAACTGAGGAGAAAGAGAGGTTTGAGACGACACACAGACCCACGCCAACACTAAACAAGGGAAGAGCAGAGTAGGACGACAGCGAAGCTAGAAGATCTAAAACTACTTATCTGTACGCACACACGGACGTCCAGCTGATGAAGAGAAGAAAAGAAAAGATATGAACACGCATGCACCTCTCCCACAAAGCTGCAGTAGCCACCCTTGAGCCAGCACGTGACTGGAACTGAAGACGGGAAAGAGAAGAGAAGAGCTCCGACCAGTTGCGCCGCGAGGAAGAAAAAGACTGAGAACTCTTTCAGCCACAAAACAACGAAAATCAGAGTAGAAACTCAGCAGACAGCAAACGGGCGAACAGCAAAAATGAAATAGTGAAACAAGAGTCACACCGATGGTGAAGAGAAGAACAAGCCGGAGGTGAGGAGGAAGGGTTCGATGGTGACAAGAAAGGAGTAATCTAAAGTCGGTGAAGAAGAGACGAGAATGCTCTGTTTTTCAGTCACACAAGATAGAAAATCTAATAAAAAATATTTGGAACAATTATATGAAAGAGCAATAGAAAATCATAAGAGAGGGCATAAAAAATTACCAAAAAGAACATAAAATTTTCCTATAATTAAAAATAAAAATAAAATAAAATAAAATCAAACTTAATAAAAAAAATTATTCAAATAAAATATCCTTTGGGAGAATTTTTTTTATCCCAATTAAAATTTAGGGCCATGACAATAAATGAGGGAGAGAAAAGAAGAATGAGGCTTAGATTATTGACCTTGGGTGTTTGGGAGCTTCAAAACGTCAACAATGGAAGCCAAAACTGTGCCCTAGTAGAGCCTAAGTCAAGCTCTTCATTTCCTTCTTCTTCTCTCTTCTGTTTTCTTGCATAGACGCGATTTAATTTATCAAAAATTTTACCCGTACTCCGCAGCGCACTCTGCCCTTCGCCGCGGTACATGGTACAAAGGAGTCCATTACATTTAAATTGCCTTTGTGCGTCATAGCGGACCAACCACGCGCTACAACGTGTGGCACAGAGAATAATTCTTCACTTTTTCTTCCTCTTTCCTTGCCCGAGTAACCCGCCATCAATCCAGACCCACTTTTAGGGCTAAAATCACAACAATTATGCTAAGTAAATCCCTCTGACCATACACCTCATTAACTCGCTAATTACCTTCACTGGGTTAATAAACTAAGATTAAATTTTTTCAGATGTTACACTATGCATGTTTGGTATATCGAAAAAATGTTCTTTATAAAAGAAAGAAAAAAGCTATCAAAAAAGAATAGGATAAATAAGTACATTTCTTTTTTTTTTAAGGAAAAAATTAACTTATTCGACAATGCATAAGTGAAGTATGGCAAGTGAAGGCAATTAGATATATGATAAGGAAATGATTTTTAAAATTAGGTTTGATATAAGTGAATCATTAGGCCTAAATTGAGTTAAATTCTAATCATTGGCCCAAATATTTTAATTAAAAAATTTTGGGAGGCACATTGAACTTGTGTCCAATTATATAATATTGATATAAAGTGTTATATTTAAAAATAAAAGAAAGATAATATATTCTTAAAAAATAAAAATAAATAAGGGAAAACTAATTTGCTAGTCCTTGTGGTTTTATCAAAGTTTGAATTAGGCCCCTCTAATTTTTTCTCTATTGGGTCCTTAATTATAATTCACTTTCTGTTAGTGGTAATAGTCCTTGTGTTAATTTTTTTTCCTCTTGCCGATGTGATTCAAAGTTAGAGTCCAGATTGTGCAAATGCACAATTACTATGGAAAAATTTTGTCTATGTGCGATGCTTTTCAATTCCACGTCATCCTATGCATGCATTAACAGTGTCAGGAGCATTGATTAACGGAGGGACTAAAGCCTCCAACTGTATGAACTATAAGGATCTAATAAAGAGGAAAAAAAATGAAAGGACTTGATTCAAAATTAGATAAAGTTATAAAGATGATAGACAAATTTTTCGAACAAGTTAGTATGATGCATTCATCGGTCAAAATATCAGCACAATGATGCATCGTTAAAGCCTCTCGTCTCTAAACATATGTATTTGGAAGTGTGTGCATGGCCATGACAACAATTTGGTTCCTTTTTTGTTTCCGTGTATTAAATGTTACGTTAGAAGTGATGTACGGCTAGTTTTTTTCCCCCCTTTTGCTGTTAAATATACTTTTTTACATAAGCAAGAGAAAATTAATTTAATAAATTCACCAACTCATTATGTCCCTCTTCATTACTCCAAGAGGAGGAGAAAAATACTGTAGCATTGTCTCCTATAATTGCCGAATTATTCAAAAAAAATAGCACCAACTGTCCCGTGCGTTGCACAGGAAGCATTTACTAAGATAGTAATACTTCAAACATGTATCTTCCATGCAATTAGATAATAAAAAGATTCAATAGATCAATAATTGATTCTACAATATATTAGGTTTGTCATTCGCTAAGTGAAAATATCAAGGATAGAATGAAATTAAGGAGAAAGCACATAGAACTAATAAATTTTCAGAGCTTACAACTAAATTCATAACAACAGCTAATGCATAACAACATTACATGAAAATTTACCCTTTATGTGAAAAGGTACTTGGTATGTGTATATTTGAAGAGAATTAGTCCATTTATATAATCTGGTATTACTATATACTATATATCAGATAGTGGATGATGCATTTATCCTTTGAAAAGAAGTTGACAGACATGGAGTTAGGGAATTATCTTTAAGTAATCATGACAAGAAAAAACTTAAATAGAAAAAAAATTAATAATGGATTAAAGCTAATAATACAATGACACGATACCAGTCTTGCTAAAATGAGAACTCGAAAATCTTAGACATATAGATCTTTACTTACATATAATAACAACCTAGAAGCTATAACAAAGTTTTATTAATTGAATTAAGGTTCAAATTTAATTACTATATATAAGAATTAAACATCATTAGAATGGTGATCTTCTAATAACTATCACAGAGCAAAAGAAATTACTGATGACTAACTACAATTTTTTAAAAGACAATTCGACCAAATAATATTTACATAAGCCAACAGTAAAATAATTAATTGAAACAACAAAATACTTAAAGATAAACATGGTTTAGCAGAAGTCAAGAATGGATCAACATTATTGTAGAATGACAAAGAAGAAATAGAATGAGGTCGAACATGGTCAGTAGGTGATGATTCATCAAAAACTAGTAGGCTTACACTAGAATAATGACCAGAATTGCTTAACCTTGGAGATGAGATTTTCCACATCATCATTACTTGATCCCAAGACTTCTCAAGTATAAAAAGTTAAAAACAACATTAATTGACCATAGACAACTTTAAAGCATGCATGAACTTAAACGTGATTGGAGTTGGTCTTAGGATGAGTTCTGTATCTACTTGGATTAGTGGCACATTAAGATGTATCATTCAAACCAAATTTATCCTTCAATACTAATCCTTCAGCATCAGTTGGCAAATAGAAAAGATCTGAACCAGTCCCATTACTTTGATTTCAAATTCGTGACTCTATCTGTTAGATAGTGTTTGCTTAATGGTGTAGATTGCTGATTGTAGTCCTCAAAAGAACAGAGTGAACTTCTAAGCTTGATAACACTTGTTTGCAAATTAACAGCTCCTATATAATACATGTAGGAAGTAATTAATTATGAAACTAACTTGTTTTGGGCCAAAAAAAAAATTACTAATGAGTAATGACTAACTACTATTTCTATTAGAGAGCAAAAGAATAATTTATTGACACAGGAACTTACTTTAAGACAAAATGGCTTTAGTAGTAGATGGGAAAGGTTTAACATTAGTGTATAATGAGGGAGAAGAATCTGAATGAGGTTCAACATGTTCTACAGGTGATGATTCATTAAAAACTGGTTTGACTTACACCAGGAAAATGCCCAGAACTGGTTAACCTTGGAATTCTGATTTTTTTCTAATTCATCAATACAAGAGAGAACAAATTTGGTGGTTTAAGGACCACCTCATTCTTTTGATCACTATATGATAAATGCCAGCTCAAAAATTCTCAAATCCAAAAATATGGAATAAAAATATATTTAATTTTTGCAATCATTTAAAAAAAAAAAACACGTAACCATATCATCTTCGGAAGCCCTAACATTTGAATCATCACATAAGCAAAGTTCATAGGAAATTTGAAATATTTTAATTATAGTCTACTGTATAAATCAAAATGTAAAATTCAAGGGGAGGGGATGTTGTAGGCTTTATAACGAAGGTTGATCCTCCATGAAGTAGGAAGGTTGATCCTTTCATAGGTGCTTGATTCTTCCTCTTTTGTCACTACATCTTTTTAAAGGATATACGAGCATAATTCTTGCAACGACCGTAAGGAGGCTCCAAGACAGCAAACCCCAGACACATAATTCTTCCTCTTTGATTCTTCTACTAACTTTCACATAATTATTCCAAAATCTAAGTATATTGTAATGACAGTGAGGTGGCTCCAAACAGCATAATTCTTCCTCTTTGATTCTTTCACTAACTTTCACATAATTCTTCAAATATCTAAGCATCTTGTAATGCCCATCAGGTGGCCCCCAGATAGCAAATCCCATCTTCAACATGTAACAACTTAGGTTAAATAAAATGCAATAGTGAGTCAAAAAAAGAATTGATATAATTATTTATTGATAAAATTGGTATAAAAATGAAATTGATGATAGCAATGTATCCTCTTAGCTTGTAGATTCAATAGCATATATGTAGCCACTATAGACTGGATCATCAGTGGCTTGGTAAGTCAGAACTTTTGAAGGAACCCTCTCATACCAATACAATTAAGAGTGCTTCACAACTCCTGAAATTAAGTTAAACAAAGTTATTCAAGCAAGAGAGTGAGATGCACCAAATCTACATGCTACCAATGTGATAATCAAGAAAATGTTGTGGAGAACAAAGAGAATTATATCATCCAAAAAAGATTCAGATCATGTCAATATTCACTCTAAGAATGACTCTCTTAGGTCTTTCCTAACTAAATCTATCCAAGAAATTATCATTCTCCAACTTCCATTAACCGATCTAGGAACTTTATTGCGACCACTTTATTTGAATGTCTAACATTTGCAATTCAAATATAGCTAGTCCAAGAACTGTATAAAAGTGCAAATAATTTTTTCTAACAGTGTACAAGAGGGAAAATTTTCCTTACAACAAATTTACTGTCAAAGATGCTATACAAAAACCTTTGATATATTAACAATTGAGAATGCTGCAAGAAACATTAGTTGATGGCATCATCTCTCATTCCAAATAAGCATTTAAACTTCTAAGTTCAGTTACTCAATATATATCATTAGTTGATGAATTCAACTTCTATCCAAAAGATATGATAACTGAACAAACATGGCTTATTCTTCTATAGTAAGAATTCTTAAATTCAACTCATATGCACAAAATTGATAGGGCCAAGGAATGATAATAAATCTCTCAAGAAGCACAATAAATCACACAAATGAGATAAAAAGTTACAGCTACTGATAATATCTAAAAGTAAAATGACTGACCATCTCATTTGCGTGGGGGCAAAGTATAGTCACAATTTAGGGAGGACAAAAATATTACTTAATGATCAGCTCTTCTTAACAACAGCCCAATGAATTTGGGAACACACCATACACATTAGAGTCAGCTACAATTGTTGCCGACCAAATACTGCATAAAATATAATGGACTGATAGCATAATCTATGCTTTCAAAATCAATGAGAAAATCCTAAATCTCTCAGATAGGAAAAATCTAGTGAGGATAAGTAAATAATGAGACAACATATGAAAAGAACACGAAGAAAATCATAAACTATCCAACAAAGAAGAATAGAACAGTAACATTTCATGTTAGCAAGGATTGGACACGGCTCAGAAAGGATACTAAATCTCTCCAGAAGCACACAAAATCACACAACTCAGATATCAAACTTAATACAAAATCATAACAGCTACAATACCTAATACATGCCATAAAAATATCTAAAAGGCTTGATACAACATATATCAAACATTAGGTTGCAAAAACATCTGAACCATGTCACATGCATAACAGCAAAATCTATACAGAAAGAGAAAGTAATGGAATGGGAAGTAAAGAATCCTAAGAAATAGGAATTGGCTAAAGAGTTAGCCAAAAAGCTTTAAAGAGAAAGGTGAGGCTTCAAAAGAATGGAGACACACTGCAAGCATTTTTACATGTTTGTCACTCCAAAATCTTGAAGAAAATACTGACAAACCAAAAAACTTTTACACAACTAACCAACAAAAAAGATGTCCTGATTAAGCTTGATAAAAATGTAGCAAGTAAAGTAATATTTACAAAATATACATTTACAAAAAAAGAAAAAAGAAAAAAAAGAAACACATCATTTGAAATCTGTTATGCTAAAAATATATAAAAAAAAATCAAAACTGAAATAAAAACAATGCAATATAATGCAAATGCAAATGCAAAAATGTCTTCCTTAGTTAAATTACTCAGATAAATATATTCTATGATTAATTGCAACCATCACACGTGTGTTTGTTAAAAAGAACCAGTAATAGATCTTCTATAACTAAGTGAATGAGATCTCTTTTGAGAAGAACATTCTACAAAACAAAAAGGCTAGCGAAAGTAAGAATCATCACTAAGAAAAGATCACATGTAGGCTATGCAAATCACCATTCCATGATGTCTGGATTCATTTCTAATAGAGAAAGAGACTACAATAAATATCCCACGCTACCTTGACTACTTAGGCATATACACAGTAGGAAAGGTGGAAAAAAGAAAAAAAAAAAGAAAACTCCCATGTCTGAAATACTGTTGAGCACATGTCTTCCAAGATTTCTTGGTCATACATGAAGTAATACCAAACAGACAAAGATAAAGTAAGATAATTAACCAATGGTCAATGATTCTCCTAAGAAAAGTTATTGACAGAATTAGTACACAAACAGCAACACCAAACAGGTAACCCACACGTTTTGAATCTTGGAAGACAAAATAAACTTACAAAAAGGCTAGAAGTCTTGAGCACCAATTAGCCATTGGTCATCATGCACACAAAAACAAAAAAACAAAAAACAAAAATCTGACAACCCGCACGTTCATTTCTTTTGAAATGCAATAAAACATACTAAACCAACACGATTGGTAAACCTACTTTTAACACAAAAGAAATGAAGCATGATCCTCATATCTTGAAAACTTCAGACCCTCTTGCTTTGTATATAGACAAGACAGGAAAGAGTCATTACCAACAATGTACTATGCCATTGTACTAAATCATAGAAATCAAAAATCGTTATAAAGGATAACAGCCTAACTGGTCAATTTTGGGCTACAATACTAATGAATACAGAATATTAGAAATTGGTAAAAAGAACAAATGGGAAGTAATCTTCTCCCTACCATAAATATCACAGTATAAATAAAGGAAAAAAAAATTCAGTAAATAAAGTATAGATTAGTTCTTAAAACATAAATATACTAACGTATGCTACATTTTGTTTGTGTTGGAATACAGAGTTATAACACAAATATTCATTCTTTGAAGATTAACACATTAGCCTAGTTAGTTCCTTATCTTTGGACACAGTATAACTCAACCCTTAATAATGCCAAGTAATTCTGACATGATTACAATATATAAATACCAGATAAATTTTAAATTAAAGGGTCATAGTAAATTAAAGTATCTTAGTATCCGCATAATCATACTTTAATATAACAAACATATCCTTACTCAAAAAGGATAAGGAACTAATTTCTGCACAATTACTTGGCAATGGTCTAAACAAATATATAAACATGAAGACATTGCAAGTAAAGAGGTAATACCAATAAAATACCCGTGCAACAAAATTACTCAAGAAGATATAGATGGTGATGTAATGTTAAGCACATTTATATTATAAAAAAAATGTTCTTTCTTTTCTGCAAAAGTTGGTTAGGGCCTTCTAAACCACAGTAGTAATAAAGTGCTATGTAAAAAGAATATCCTATGCCAACACATAATACCCCCTAACACTGAAACTTGTAAAGTCAAATTGCTAAGAAATTCAAAACACTATTGAATATAAAAATTGATTTTACAGAGTGGTGTAAATTTGATCTCTAAAAAAAATCAAGAAATAACCAAAAAATAAAATATAATTATTATATATGGTATAGTACAAGTAAACCACAATTAATTACTGGAAGAGATCAACCATATTCTAAAAGCATTGATGATAGTGTTACTTAAATAAAAATCAACCTTGATTTATATGCACTTTTGTGGTCCACACGTCACTTTTGCTTCAAATAGGTGTCTACAGAGGATACCATAGACTGAAACACATGTTGCTACTAGAAGAAAAAAATGAGAAAAAAAATCTTGTGGCAGATCATACAAATCACCATTCCATGATTTCGATAATAAATTTAGCATGACAGAGAAAAAGTTTGAAATAAATATAATAGAATCAGATGACTACTAAGACATGGTCACTACAGAGAAAAAGGAAGAGAAGAAAACACATGTGACAGTAACTATTGAACATAAAAACAAACTTTAGAAAGCACAGAGTACACTTGATCTCTAAAAAAATCAAGAAATAACTAAAAAATGGAATATAATTAATTCTATATGGTATAGTAAATGTATACCACAATCAATTGCTGAAAGAGATCAACCATATTCTAAAAGCATTAATGATAGTGTTACCTAAATAAAAATCAAGCTTGATTTATATGCACTATCATGGTCCACACAACACTTTTGCTCCAAATAAGTGTCTAAGAGGCTACCGTAGACTAAAAAACATGCTGCTATTAGAAGAAAAAGAAAACTAAAAAAAATCTTGTGGCAGATCATATAAATCACCATTCCACAATTTCACCAATAAAGCATGACAGAGAAAAAGAATGTAATAAATATAATAGAAAATGTAATAAATATAATAGAATTGTATGACTACTAAGGCATGGTCCTGGCAGGAAAAAAAAAAAAAGGAGAAGAAAACATGTGACAGTAACACACTAACACTATTAAAAAAAAAAAGGAAAGATTTACTTGTCATACATCATGAAATACCAAGAGGGCAGTGAAAAAGGCAAAACAGATTGAGAACAAAAAGAGCAACATAAATTAGATTACCCCAACATTTTGAATCTGAACTTACAAAAAAAAAAAAAAAACAAAGAAAAAACACAAAGAAAAAAATATACAAAAATAGTTACCCATTGATCAATACATTTACTAAGATACAAACCGTAAAAGTTAGAAAGCAACATGACATAGAGAACCCACACAATTGCTTATGCTTCTTCAACCAAAAAGATGAATGAATCATGGGGTTCATGTATATAACTACCTACTAAGAGTGTAATCTCAAGTTTAGAGTTTGAAAGAAAAATAATAAATGAGGAATTTGTGTCATATAGCTGTATATGAATAGCTTCAAAATACAAGAGTAAAACAGCCTAGATGAACCAATATATGGCTTGAAATTTATTTATACCAAACTGACCTTGTATGAATAAAGAAAAGAAACAAACTGTAGTAGCAGAATTTTAAATTAAATGGCATTCTTTGGATCTCGTAGAATCAAAACTCTTCAATAAGTGAACCAAATTTATGGCATTTAAAGGTGAAGAAGAAAGAACCAAAACTACCCATAACTTTGATTAATACTTTAAAATGTGCTTAAGCACCTAATACATAATTGTTCAGGAGGCGGGAGGGCTAGAAGTCCTCAACAATTGGGGACAAACAGTATTCTTAGAAAAGATAGCCCCAAAGATACCAAAAAAAAAAAAATTAACGTTAGCATTGTTCCATGACATGTCACAAACAAAAGGACCTAGAACTATAGAGGTAGGTTGCTCCAAGCAACTACTCTCATGCTAAGTTGGTGAGAACAAAAGAAAATTTCAGAACAAACTTTGATGCCCCCTAACCAAACCAAACTGAAGCATACAGAAAACAAAACACTATTGACTTATTGAAACTGACACAAACAAAATAAGCTAACACATAGAATTATGCTCAGTTCTCAGCTCACCTGAACACCAACACAAAACGAAAAATAGCAACCTGCACCATTGCCTCAACTGCTACTCACTTGAAATGTTGCATCTCCTCAAAAAGTTTTCACTGCATTTGATCTCTTTCTTGAGTTTTCATCCGCCTCCTTACTTTCCTCTTTAGAGATCAAGAGCTTCAATAATGAAAATTGAAATTGAGTATACATGAGAGTGGATGAAAGATGTTGATGCTCATATATCTAATATTATGTCTGCATTGTTGCTATTCTGATCAACTACCATAGGATGAGAAGCATAGCTTCTCTAACACAAGTAGAGAACAATAAAAAAGCAGAAAACATTAAACCACAAACACAAAAAGGCATTCCAACTCAGATGTAATAATTTTTAAAAATATGCCACGGGCCAATTCATGGTTCAAGCAAATAATGATATATAAAAGAGGAATTATGTTGCATACTCACATCAATATTGTCATCATCAGCAAATTGTAGAAGTTCCTTGTCATGCTCTTTCAAGAACTCACAAAATTCCAGGTCTTATGTTGAAAAATTCAATTAACTTCTGTTCATTATTGCCTTCTGCTCCTTCAAGAAGTTTGTTGAACTTTGATTTAATTCTTTCTAGGCAAGCTGTGAATACTTCGATCATAACTTCAAGATATGAAGCATGAAAACTAGGAGCAATGTGATAGGTGATATTTATTACACACTTTTCTTAAGTATTTAGGATCACATTTCATAATAGAAAACTCTTACTAATACAAAAAACTTTGAGACTGCGTATTTCGGAGCGCTTAGGGAAAAAGCACTACAAAAATTAGAGACGGAACCTACCGGAATGCTTTTTTCAGTAAGCGCTCCTAAATTTTCAAGAGTCTTATGTTTAGGAGTGATCTATAAAAGAGTACTTCCAATTGAAAATAATTAATAACAAAAAAATTTATTATATGCCTCTAAGAGCATTCCTAAAAGTGTAACGTTTCAGAGCGCTCTTTCATTGAGTTTTCCAAAATTGAATTGAAATTTAAAAAAAAAAAAATTAGTCTAACATTTCGAAGCACTCAAAAGAAAAGAACTTCAAAATAAAATTTAAAAAATATAAAAAAAATAGAGGCTGACAATTAGGAGCGCTTGAGGTAGAGCGCTCCTAAATATTATGCATTTGAGAGCGCTCAAATCTGGAGCACTCTGAAATGATATTAAAAAAAAATAAAAACAATTAGTATTACCTTTGGGAGCGCTCAAAGAAAGAGCGCACCTCTAACCTTTCAGAGCACTCAATATATAAGCACTCTGAAAGGCATCAGTTTTTTTTTGGACAGAGAAAGGCTTCAGTTTTTAAAATAAGAATTTCTGCCTTTCTATTCTGCAGACTCGCGACCCCCCCTTTTAGTTTTGCAGACTCGCGACCCTCTCGACCCTTTCTTCACACAGACCTCCGAACGCCGCTGAAAAGCTGGAAGATCAACAAAAAATCACCAATCTGTTGCAATGAGCCATTGCACCGCCTTTCCCATTCGTCGTCGTCTCCCATAAGCTCGCAGATCTACATCACCGTCACCAATCTGAACATCCTGTTGCCGCTGCCCTCCAAAACTCGCTCCTTCTCACTACCGAGTCACTCCTTCTCGCCGAGCCGCTACTGTCACTCCTTCTCGTTGTCGCACGTTGAGCCACTACCATCCCGCCTCCTCGCTGCTGCAGGCCGAATCACTGATCGCCGCAGAGTCGCCTACTACAGGTTTTCTTAATAAGAAATTATATATAAATGTTATATATATATATAAACAACAACAACAACAAACCTTTATCCCACTAGGTGAGATTGGCTATATGAATTACAAGACATCATTGTGCTCTATCATTTATCAAACTTTTAAAAATATTATTAATTAAGAGATCGCGTTCAATAACTTTGATTATATATATATATATATATATAATAATATTAATAATTTAGGGTTAACAAAATATAGATAAATTTTGTTGATAGTTTTTTTTTTTTGCATTAGTCTTATATTAGTTAATTTTTATTTTAATTTTTTTGTTAGGCTGTGATAATAACAATAACAATAAGAACAAACTTTTATCCCACTAGGTGAGATTGGCTATATGGATTACAAGACATCATTGTGCTCTATCATTTATCAAACTTTTAAAAATATTATTAATTAAGAGATCGCGTTCAATAACTCTGATTATATATATATATATATATAATAATATTAATAATTTAGGGTTAACAAAATATAGATAAATTTTGTTGATAGTTATTTTTTTTTGCATTAGTCTTATATTAGTTAATTTTTATTTTAATTTTTTTTTGTTAGGCTGTGATAATAACATGTATTTATAATTGTAATAATAACACATTCTTATATACTAATTTGCATGTCAATAAACACACACTTATGCATTAATTTTGTTGTGATAATGACAATAGAAGCTAAGTGTGATAATAGCAATTTGTCATTATAGTTAATTTTACTATAACATTATATTATTCTCACTTTAGTTCTAATTGGATGTAGTTATTATTGAAGAATAGGAAGTTGAAATTTAAGAGAGGAAAATCTTACTTTAATTTTTTTAGGATGTTCCATTGTTAGGAGGGATTTTGTCAATGTTTATTTTTTAAAATTCTAATTTTTTGTTTCTTCAATTTCTATGACTATATTAGTGATATGGATCGTAAGTGAATATTGACTAATCGACTATCTAGAAAATATTGGGATGGTGTGGACGAGTTTATTGAGTTTGCATTTTATCGTGATCAAGACACCCATAGAGTCATATGTCCTTGTTTAAAATGCTGCTGTAGAAAAAGAGTGAGGCCAATAGAATTGAAAGATCATTTAATATGTAATGGGATTAATCCAACTTAAATTTGTTGGACGGTGCATGAGGAGACAAGGAATAATGCAAATGATTGGAAGGATAATGTGAGCTGTTCAACATTTGATTATGATAGAGCGACATATAATGTTGACTATCTTGATGAAATGATTGATATAATTGAATTAGGGACTGTCCTAATATGTTTAAGAGGTTGAAGAGTGATGCTAATAAATCATTGTACCTCAGTTGTAAGAAATTCACAAAATTATCAGTTGTTCTAAAATTGTACAACCTAAAAGCAGCGAATGGATGGAGCGATAAGAGTTTCACAAATTTGCTTGAACTCTTATATGAGATGTTAGTAGAGTACAACAAGCTTCCACCTATTACTTATGAGGCTAAAAAAGTTCTATGTTTTATTGGGATGAGCTACGAAAAGATTCATGCATGTCCAAATGATTGTATCTTCTTTTAGAAAGAGTATTCAACCTTAAATAATTATCCAAAATGCAATGCATCACGATATAAGAGAAATCGATGTAGCCCGATAAAGGCATTATGGTGTTTTCTAATCATACTAAGATTTAGATGCCTATACAGCATTCTAGAAGATGCTAAATACTTAATATGGCATGCTAACGAGAGAATTAAGGATGGCAAGCTACGACACCCTACAGATTCTCCTTAATGGAAAAAGTTTGATTTTATGTACCTTGAGTTTGGGAAAGAAGATATAAACTTATGCTTTACACTAGCCACTAATAGAATGAACCCTCATGGCATGCAAAGTAGTATTTGCAGTACATTGCTGGTCATTTTGATTATCTATAAGCTCGCTCCAGCATTGTGCATGAAGCGCAAGTTTATGATGCTACCATTGTTGATTTTTGGGCCTTAACAACCAGGAAATGATATAGATGTGTACTTAGCTTCATTGATTGAAAATCTAAAGATATTATGAAAGATAGGTGTGGAGGTTTATGATGGGTATAGAGAAGAACATTTCATCCTATGAGAAATGTTGTTTTGCACCATAAATGACTTTCCTACTTATAGCAATTTGTTAGGATATAGTACCAAAGGACGAGATGCATGTCCTGTTTGTGAGGAACACACTTGTTCAGTGCAATTGGAACATTGTAGGAAGAATGTCTTTTTTGGTCATCGACGACTTTTGCCACAAACACATTATTACCGACGGTTGAAGAAGGCCTTCAACGGCCACTTAGAGAAGTAGTAAAGAAGCCAATCAAAGTTAAAGAAAAGTTGTCAAAAGGATCTACCTCTATAACTAAAGTAGGGAAGATCGGCATAGAGTCTATTTAGCTAAAATATCCTCATCAAAATGCACTTGAAGTGACTATGCAGACAACATTTAAAAATAAGATCCGTGGAGTAGAATTTAAAAAGGAGATTTATGGTGAAATGATTAGCAAAAAATTAGCGGCTGAAAATATTAATGAGATTTTGACCAAAGATTGGCTACAAACCACACAAATTAGTTTATACATTAGGTACTTTCTAAATTTTATTGTTTATTGTGGTATTTATTTAATTTTAGTTGTGAATGATTCTATTTTTTTTCATTTTAGGTACTTGTATCATACTTTTGTGGTGCCGGGCTCATTGATAACAAAATTTTCATTTATTAGCCCTCACAACACTAGTACCTATAGTGTTTAATACCATTCTCAAAAGATTACTGATGCATTCAAAGCCAAAGGCAAAAGAAACATGTTATTTTTAGCTCCTCACGTTCTAGGGTAAATTCTTATTGTTGTTTATCTTTAAATTTAGTTAATATTTTAGTTAATGAAATATTTTGTTTTTTTCAAGCAACATTGGGTGCTTGTTTGTATCAATTCATTCGTCCCTATAATTTATTATCTTGACTCATTAAGAAATAGTGACTTTAAGAACTATAAATTTATGAGGATATTATTTAATTAGTAAGTTTTTAATTATGTATTCTTTATATATGTTTATTATAACAATTAGTTTTTACTTGGTATGCTGAATCATTATATTATAGGGTTGTAGTATGTTATTGAGGTGGTGAAGGTCTCCCTCCAAACATCGAAAGGCATGATCCTATTGAGTTTTATTCATGGAAAAGAATAAAGATTTGTATTATTTTCTTAATAAAACAAGCTTGTATGTATCTAAATGATTGTTTGATTGCTATTTTATGTTTGGTATTCTGAATATGCTGTTCTGGATTGATATAGAATTTTTAAAAAATTCTGAAACATCCAACTTACAGGGGAGACTCTATCAAATTTTTGACAGCAAATACTTATATTATGTATATAACTTCATCCCTAAAGTATTTTAAATTAAGTTGAAATTTATTTCTACCATATTTTAATAATGACATCTTTTATTTTTTTATAGGTACCTACACAATTACAAGGTTGGGAGTGCGGATACTATGTTATGGAGTTTATAAGAGAAGTAATCACACAACAAGAGTTGATCATTCCTAAAAATGTAAGTCAAAAGCTTTGAAATTAATGAAATATAATGTTAATTACTTATATATTGCTTTCATATTTTGTATAGTATTTTGTTGGAGCAAAATCTTCACATTTTACTACGGATAGAGCAAATAGAAGATTTAGTTGAAGAATGGTCAAAATATATTATTGGCTGTTTGTGATAGAAAGTTAGATTTCAATGTTAGAAAAATACAAATAATTTCATTTTATAAGCTTGTTAGAAATTTAAGTAGCTAGTTAGGAAATTGAAATTGTTGTTTTAATTTCAAGTTCTTTCCTTATATATAAATTTTTATGTTGATATTATTTCTAAATTAGTTTTTGATATTGTGATTATTAGTTATTGTAAAAGAGACGTAAGGGAGAAATTTTGAAAAATATATTTAAAAAAATAAATACAATCTGTGAAAGCGCTCTTCAAATTAGTGCTCTTGTATAGTAGACATACAGGAGCGCTCATTATAAGAGCGACATATTCATGAGCGCTCTCGTATGCCTACTATATAGAAGTGCTCATTTGAAAAGCGCTCCAATATGCTGATGATAGAATACATTTGTTATCCACTTTTATTTGTCAATTAAGACCCTTATATTAATATTTTATCATCTCAAAGTGCATTCATTGCATTAGATTTGGAAAATTGCCTAACTTTTTAGGTTCAGTGCACTAGGGGTATTTTGGTCCAAAAAATAAACTTTTGAAAAAATGTACAAGAAAAACCCATTTTTCTCTTCCTTCTCTCTACACTAGATTTTCATACAGCCACCATTTCTTCCTCTTTTAACCATCAAATCCACTCAATTTGTCCACAATTCTTCTCCTCTTTCAAGGTCAAATCAACCCCAAGCAACTAGAAGGAGATTTGAAGCTCAATCCAACAAGAAGCATGGGACATGTGCCACGGCCTAGTTGTGTTCATAAAGGAAGCAAAGTACTCTTGATGTTTTCGAACTAGAGTCTTTATGAAATCTTAGGGGAGAGTTGATGGAAGAGGAGTTTAAAGTCTTCACTTGGCTAAGCTCAACTATTTCTTCATCTTGTTTCAATTCCATTATAATACTATGATTATTGTTGATTATGGTTCAATTTGACTTTAGTTACATGGTTGTTTGTAATTTTGTAATGTTGAAACAAAATTGTTAAGTTGAATTTCATGACCTATATGCTTCTGGAATTTCGTCCACTCTATGAATTTGCATGGTAATATGTGATTTCAATGAGTGAATGTCTTGTATTAGCCTAGCATGTAATTGTGTGGTGAATATTTGATGGGTTGCTTAAGTTTTCATAGTTTTAAACTTAGGTACAGCTTTGGGCAGTGGCATTTGGGAATGAGTTTTAGCTAAACACTTGGTTAATTTTAGAGTTAAGTTAATAAAGTTACCTAAGAGGCTTGTAATAGCATTTAGGAAATTGAATTAGTGAAGCTAGGATACTTAAGATAATTGTCTTAAGTAAATGTATTTTTCAGCCAAGGAAGAAGAGTTGAGTGAGCTGCCATGTTTAATTAGAAATTAGGATTCTTCCATTAGCAACACCTTAAGGTTTCTACTTAAATTGGGAAGCCACTTAATTCATAGTTAGGTTTAGTTTACTTGTTTAATTCACTAGATAATTAGGTTAGCAATTAGTTAATCAACTTCAAACTTTGGGTGATTTATTTCACTAGATAGCTTTAAATTAGACTTAAAATTATTCCTTGAAAGATGACCTAAGGTCGGTCTTATATTGTATTAGGAGTAGCTTTAATTTAATTTTGATGACAAGCGACAATCCCTATTAGCTGACATACAGGAGCACTCTTTAACTGAGCGCTCCTATAGGCTAACATATGAAAGCGCTCTTCAAATGAGCACTCTTATATATCTATTGCCTCCGTAAATTATTCTTTTACATACAAGAGTGTGTTTCTATAAGCACTCTTGTATCTCATACATACAGGAGCATTCTTTTAAGCACTTTTGTATATTCCGGAGCGCTCAATTCGGAGCACTTTTGAAGTGCTCCCTAAGGCCAACAAAAAAAAGAGCTCCTATAAGCTTATTTTATAGTAGTGCCTAAGATGTGCATTCTTGGTGGTAAATTAGGGTTTAGAGCCCTAATGAGAAAGTATGCATATCAGGGGTATTTTGGTCATTTTGTACTTTACTGGGAATTCAAGGGAAAATTGAGAATTTTATGTGTGCATTAATTTTAGAACCATTTCTATATGTTAACAGTCTCCATCTACATTGATATCACATTCTTAATGCAATTTTGCCTAAATGTTCAAATATATGCATATTAAGAGTAATTTAGTCATAAAATACACTTTTTCACCAAATTAAGGTTAAGCTTGAGATTTATGTCTTTTGATAGGTTAAGATGATTGGTCTAATTAGTTTTTATTGATTCATCCTAGATTGAAATTTATTAAGAAAAGACAATATTTTAAGGTTATCTCCTTAAGGGTTTCCAATTAGCCTTTAATTTTAATTCAAATTCATGCTTGTCTACACTTGTGTCTTGTGAGACTTTTACATTTATTTTTCCTTACTCATTTTAATACTTTGAATGAATTAAATACTTATATCTTAGTCTAGTTAAATAAATATCACACTATGGTTATTTAATTATTTGATTTAATTGTGACTTACACTAGTGCAAAATTAAATTTTAATGACATATTTTTTGCCACAGTCCTTAAAGAAACTGTGGTAGTAGTAGACTTAGTGGCCCTTTCTTAAATAAGATACAAAATGTATCATTTATGGCGACAGTCCTCAAAAAACACTGTCGTCACAAATGTGTTTGATTCAACATATTTTAAATAAAATTATTAATTATTAATTGTTGGGCAAAAAATAAAATTATTAATTATATTGTTAATTATTTCCTACTACTTGAGTAATATTTAAGATATATGAATTATGTCTCAAACAAGACATATTAAATTAATATTATTTAATATGTCATATTAATTATTAAAATTAAATAATTAATAAATAAATTTCATATTATATTAAATTTTAAAATAATAAGTAATTGAAGTAAGAGTATTTAATAGGTTATATTAATTATTTGATAATTGTTTCTGAATTAAGACACATTTTATATGTCTTAATCCTAAAAAATGATTTATAATTTATTTAATTTTCTCAATAATATTTTTTTTATTTTTAGGTGACGCGGTCCGAGCTGAGGGTTTGAAAACCCTCAGCTCGGACATTTGGTGGTAGGCCCCATTGGGCCTGTTGCTAAAGGTCCTTACTGGACCTTTGGCTTTTCGGACCTGTCGCGAAAGGTCCTCCCAGCTAATGGTTTTCACCTCAGCTAGCACATCACAAAAAAAAAATTAATCAAAAATAAATAAATTATTGAAAATTTTGATGAATTTAAATAATTTTGTACGAATTGAGACACATTTAATGGGTCTTAATTCAGACACAATTATGAACATTAGCTAGGTTTATGACAAAATTTATTAATAAAATATATTTTTAAAATAATATTAAATTTGATATAATATTTATTTCTTAAATAAAAAAATTTATAAATTTGATAAAACTTTAAAAATATCCTAATAAAAAATTTATAAATTTTTAAAAATTAAAAATATTTTAATTATAATTTTATTTATTAATTTTCAAACATAATTAAAATTATGTCTGAGTCTAAAATGCATTTAATTGTGGCTCTGTGAATGTCTAAAATGAATTTATGGTGACAGGCACCAGTGCCTGTCGCCTGTGGCCATAAATTTGTTTACATTTATAGCAACAGGCGCCCTCGCGATTGTCGCCATAAATGACATTAATGGCGACAGATTTCTTTATGTTTATTGCCATTAATGTGTCTTTAACCCCCAGCTCAATTTTCACCCTATCATTTGCCACCTCCCAACTTTGCTTTCCATCTCAGTTCGTCCTGTCTCCCTTAGCTCCCTTATCCCTCAGCTCATCATTGCCTTTAGCTCATATTGTTGCCGTACCAACACCTATAGCTTGCCATTACTCCCAACTCCTCCAGTAATTGCTTCAACCTCCAGCTCGTTGCCATCAACACCATCTCGTTGCTCCCTACATGCTCTCTGTGCTCCAACTCGTTGCTCCAGCTCCTCCAGCTTTCCCTTAGCTTGCTGCTGCCACCACTCATTCTTGTTCCCCTACCTAAGTATTTTTCTTTTCTAATTTTTTGCTCTAATTCTTGCTTTAATTTTTTTTCTAAATTTTTTCTTTAATTTTTTGCCCACTCATTCTAGCACCTACCTTTGATTTCAAATTACTTGACTTTTGACAATTTTTATATATTGAATTTTTTTTCTACAAATAATTAAATTAACTAATTTTCTTAATTTTTATGAATTGGTTATTTATTTCTTATATTTAGGACAAAAAGAATAGTTTTGCAATACTAACAAAAAAATTGAATCATATTACTCTTTTGGTTCTGTTTATAAGGTTAGAAGATACTTTTTTGTTTTATTTATAAATCACCTCATTAATTTTTATGTTCTTTTCTTACTTTTAATTTTTTTTCTTTTTTTAATCTATTTGTTGGGATAATTTTTGAACACCTATTGTGATAAATTATATTATTATTGTTTGATGATTATTTGTAATAGCTTGAGATGTCGTTTGAATTGATTATTGATTAGAGTTGCTGATCATTGGCAATTCAATTGAGATGTCCTTAAATTGATCATATTAAGAGTTTAGTGCTCGAAAAATATCAATTTATAAGTTGTTATGCTGCCAATTTTTTTTAAATTTCCATGGTTGATTTCTTTAAATTTAGTATAATTTACTTATTGGAATTTGTTGAAATTGGTGTTTTAGTGATTAAGGTTAAATAGGAGATTATATCTTAATTATCTTGTTAGCTCAACAAAATTAATTTTTGAGCTAATTTTTTATTAAATCATTGAGAATTGTTGTTGATTAGAATTGATAATTATTGACAATTTAGTTGAGATATGCTTAAATTGATAAAAATTGAGGATTTAGTGCTTAAATTATTTGTTAATATTTGAAATAGGTAATGATGAACCGTAGTTGAATAGATACTTTATGAACAAGTGATGAATATGAAAAGGGCGTAGATCAATTTTTAGAATTTGCAAAGAACAATATTTCTAATAATACAGGATTGTTCTATTGTCCTTGTGTTAAGTGCTTGAATGGATTGCGATAAAGTTCTGTGGAGATTAAGGATCACTTAATTTGTTTTAGGTTCTATAAAACGTGCAGACAGTGCGCGTTGCATGGTAAATCTAGAAAATCTAGTGTGCCACGGGATAAGGATGATGATATGGATTTTCGTGATCAAATAGAGGATATGTTATGTGATATTGGCATTGAAGCCGTTGAGAAGGTGCACAAATATGATAGCTTGTATAATGATTCAGAAATGCCTTTGTATCTAGGTTGTACAAAATATAAACAGTGGTGTTGAAGTTGTTCAACTTGAAAGCGAGATATGGGTGGAATAATAAGAGTTTCACAGAGTTGCTTAAACTATTGAAAGAAATGCTTCTAGAGGGAAATACACTTTCAAGTAGTTATTATGAGGCCAAAAAAATGTTGTGTCTAATGGGTTTTGGGTACCAAAAGATACATGCTTACCCTAAGAACTATATATTATACAGAAATGATTATGAAGTGTTGGATGCAAGTTTGTTTTGTAGGGCATCACACTACAAAATAAAAGAGATAGATATTGGTGATGATTCCATTACTAAAAGGCTTCCAGCGAAGGTGTTATGGTATCTTCCTATAATACTGAGGTTTAAATGTTTGTCTGCTAATCCAAATAAGGTAAAGAACTTAAAATGGCATGCTGATGAGAGAAAAATTGATGGCATGCTTTGGCATCCAACTGATTCTCCTCAATGGAAAGGAATTGATCAATTATTTCCTAAATTTGGCAATGAGCCTAGAAATCTTAGTCTCAAACTATGTACAGATGGAATGAATCTTTTTAGCAATCTTAGTAATCAACATAGCTCATGGCCTATTCTGTTATAGATTTTTAATCTTCCTCCATGGTTATGTATGAAACAAAAATATATCAAGTTGTCATTAATGATTTCAAGCCCAAAACAATTTGGAAATGACATAGATGTTTACTTAGCACCATTAATTGAAAATTTGAAGATAATGTGGAAGGTAGGTATGGATGTGCTTGATTTATAT